TATTTCAGAGTATCCCGCCATTCCGTGCCATATTCAGATCTATTATAGGGTTCAACAAAAACAAAGCGGACCTTTCAGCTGCATGGTGTGTGTGGGGAAAATGTATTACATGAGGACAATAATAGCAAGTGGTGAGTTGTTTTTATTCTGTTAACTCCATGCCCATGGCATTCCACTCCACAACACGGCAGCTTCTGTCATGAACATCCAAGAAAACTCAGATCATTACGGATAACTAGTGAGTTTGCCACCCAATGGCAGAAATGCACATAGAAAAGTGGCTGCAAAAGATGGGACACAGCTGAGTGAGCTGAATGCTTAGCCCAACCTCTATGTTTCCAGGTAGCTTGACCTCACCTCTCCCCGTGCACTTAAATCCATTGCAAGTCATATGCTTAAGGAAGCTTAAGTGCATAGGGTTGCACGGCAAGACTGCAGTCTTATGCATGCCTTAGGACTAAGTCCCATAGTGCCTGGATCTCAAACTGTGCTGTGCTTTCTGCCTTAGATAGAGCCTTCCAGCTTTCAAATATCACCTGGATTTCCATTTCTCCTTGCCACCAGCTCAAGTTCCTCCCAGACTCTATTTCTTCACCCTTATGCGTCCAGTATTTATTATTTCCTCAGATCCCTGCTTTCCAGTGCTCCACCCACTCTCTTTCTATATCTAGAATATTTTATTCATTTGCAGTAAAACAGCATTGCTCAGTTTCAACAACACCTGCAGTGTTACATCTTTCTATTTATCACATTTAATGAGAAAAATTGAGCAGTGACACTGTCAAATAACTGAACCACCTACTACATTCCCTCAGTCACCCTGACTCTCGGCTAGAACTGCTTCACACCCATCCAGCACATGCCTTTAGACTCTTTGCTTCCCGGCCTCCTGTGATTTCCACTCACTCAGCTTCTCAGTCTCTACTGATGTAGCTCCTCCCAGTCCTGGGTCCCTGTGGGCTGACCTATTGCATTCTTCCCAGAAGTTGGACCTTTGTTCTCTCACCCACATCAGTTGGAATGTTTGGGAGTGGGAACCTTCCATAGCCTTCTTTCGACAGGCTCCCTGCTGCATGCAGTGAATGTGTGATGGGAGATCAGGATTGTGCCCACTAGCCATGCACACTGGTGTTGGCATATCCACTGGTCACAGCCTGTGCATTTGGAGGTAGCATGGAAGGGGAGCTAGGCTTGCGCATTTGTTCATAGAATTTTTCCATGCAAGCAGGGTGTCTCAGCTAAATGCTGCCAGAGGCTTCGCTGCCACCAGAACCCTTAGCACACTACATAGTTAACAGAACAGTGCGACAGCTGTGGCCTTGCCATGCACACCTTCTATAGGGATGTGGCATTAGAAGCAAAAGGTGACAAGTGTGACAATATTAGTTTGAATTCCTGCTTCCGCTTGCATGCTCATATGCAGATGAGATGCAGATTTTGCTATTCTTACGAGACTGTTTTCATAGGTTGGTGTTCCGAGAAATCCTTGTGGGCAGCGAGCAAGGCAGGTTGCACATATCATAAGCAAATAATATATTTAATTCTAATGAGCTATAAATGCAGCTAATTGTAGCAGATTGGAGCCCCTTTGTTCATCTCGTGTTTTTAGCAAGGTCACATTGCTTAGCCCTGCTTATCCACGGTATGGTCCCAATTTCAAATTTATGTCTCTGTCAATTAAAGTCACTGATAGTTTATCAAACTGATGGCCCAGACAATTTGACACGAGTAATATCATTAGTGGTGTTTAAGTTGGTTTAATAGCATTAATGGAAATAGTAAACATTAACAGAAAAGCAGAATGACCCAATATCTCCCTTCATGGACAAGGTGTTTTTGTTGTTCTACTGTTCTGCTAATGCAGCTTGACAAATCTAATTTGTTTTGGGGGAAAGCCCTACAGACCCAGATGGCAGGGCAAGAGTGAGACCTCCACGTATTTCTCTACCCCCTAGAAATCAGTGCAATGTAGGAAGTTGAATGCCTCATCCCTTGTAGTGATTGCCAGTCACAGGCAAGTGTATCCCAGTACTCGGAAATCCCATTAAATTCAATGGGAACTAGTCAGTAGTGGTTCATGGAGCAGAGCCAACCTCTGGACACTGGTGTCACTGCAGCTCCTCTGAACAGGGATGGAGTAAGGTACAGTGGAGGTGGCCTTGGGGCAGTACCAGTGGGAGTGATAAGAGTGGTTCTGCCAACCCCAAGTTTGCTGTTGCCTGACCCCAACCCCGTCTAGGTAAGTTGCATTGAAGTCAGTGTTGGGGAGGTGGCTCTCCCTCACCACACCAAGAGCAACTGGAGCCAGTCCTAGTTAAGCATGCCTTAAGACTGCAGTCTTGCCACCCAGCCCTATGCACCTAAGGTCCCTTAAGGCCACAAATTATAATGGATTCAAGTTGGCAAAGGATTGCACTGTTAAATTTCTCTGTCTGTAGGTGCTTTCAAGTCTGGTATGGGCCCACATGAAAGGGATGCGGGTGGCACTGTGGTCTAAACCACAGAGCCTAGGGTTTGCCAATCAGGTCAGCGGTTCGAATCCCTGCAATGGGGTGAGCTCCTGTTGCTCAGTCCCTGCTCTTGCCAACATAGCAGTTTGAAAGCACATCAAAGTGCATGCAGATAAATAGGTACCGCTCCGGCAGGAAGGTAAACACCGTTTCCATGCGCTGCACTGGTTCATCAGAAGCGGTTTAGTCATGCTGGCCACATGACCTGGAAGCTGTACACCGGCTCCCTCGGCCAGTAAAGTGAGATGAGCGCCACAACCCCAGAGTCGTCTGTGACTGGACTTAATGGTCAGGGATCCGTTTACCTTTACCTTTACCTTTATGGGCCCAAATATGGCCCTGTCCCTCACTTTTCCTTAAAATAAATTGCACTTAATGTTTTAGCAGGACTGCATGCTGTAACAGTGAACAGCCAAAGTACTCTGCACATGGCGGGCCATGTTGTAATTTTCCCTTCATGGTGCACATTGCACCATGATTCAGGCAACCCGGGTTTGCCACATACACATCACAACCAGGGCCAAGAATGAGGGGGGAAAGCCTGTGGCTGCAGGTGGGATGTTTCCGTGAATTGGCCCATTGTGACACTTCAGAGAAGCTGGAACAGTTTCCGTCTTCATTTACAGAGACTTGCTCTGGCAAAGTTTGCGAACCTTCCTTCTGCATTAATGAAAGGAAGATGAGTCAATGATCTTGAGCTGTGCCCTTAGTGTGTCATACTTCAGCAGTACTTATTTAGCAAATCTTTCTTCTCATGCCTCCAGGCTACAGACTGCAGGTGTAGAATGCCCTCTGCTTACAGCCATGAAGGGTTTCTAACATGTTAAGATTTTTTCTGTGATTCATGTTTCACATTTACCTCCTGGGAATTATATCATTAAAAAAACCCACAAAACCTTCAGCTTGATTAAAATCTTAGGTTCTAAAAAGCATGTCCACATTGGAGTTTCACAGCCTTAGCATATAATAAGAAATTGCAGATGCAATACTAGTAAAATGTATTGTGCTGAATGCATTTTGGCTCGGGAAACCTTCAGATATTTGTTGGAATCAAACTCCCAGTGCACCCAATGGACAGGGGTGATGGAAGTTGTAGTCCATGGACACTTGGCAGTAGCCAGAAATGACTACATCTTTGATAAGCTCTTGTGTCTCGAGTCTCCTCTGCCTTGCGGGATCTCTTTGGGAAAAGAAAAAGCTAAGGACTAAACCATACAAACAAATCCAGAGTGGAGTCCCTAAGACAGTTAGATGATGCCTTGTATTGCTCTGCTTATCTTTGGACCACATCAAGGAGGTCGGGGGGGGGGTTGTCTTGTCATCTGGGCAGCCCAGGACCTCCATACACACAACCCTGGCTTGCACCCTGGGGAGGTGACTTCAGTGTTGCCAATGCAGCGGTTTGGCTTCACCTTCGGAGGTGCACTCCATTGTCTCTGGAGAAAGATGGATGCAAACAACATTCCCCACTGGGGTGCGCTTGTTCCTGGGTAAAACATGCTTAGGACTGGAATTTAAAGACCTTTCATTTTGTACCACATAGCTGTGGGGAGAGCTTTTTAGTTTTAGGCAGGGCTTTCTTTTCCCAGCCGGGGAGCTCATCTCCAAAACTCTCAGGTGGGTGCCATTGCTAGTCTAAGAGAAGTACAGTGGTACCTCAGGTTAAGTACTTAATTCGTTCTGGAGGTCCGTACTTAACCTGAAACTGTTCTTAACCTGAAGCACCACTTTAGCTAATGGGGCCTCCTGTTGCCGCCGTGCCGCCAGAGCACAATTTCTGTTCTCATCCTGAAGCAAAGTTCTTAACCCGAGGTACTATTTCTGGGTTAGCAGAGTCTGTAACCTGAAGTGTATGTAACCTGAAGCGTATGTAACCCGAGGCACCACTGTAGTTCATAGTGAGCTCCTCCGGCACCTCTTTTTCTAGAAAAACAGCACTGGTTTTAGCTTTTAGAATGGTTGTGCGCTAAAAGAATTCTTTCAGCCCCAAAATGGAAACAAGAAGAAGTACCAACGAAAGAAGAGTGGCAGATGAAGATGATGGACTTTGCAGAACTGGCGAAGCTGACAGGAAATATCCGAAACCAGCCTGATCACGTATTCCAAAAGGACTGGAGTAAATTTATACGATATTTGAAAGATTATTGTAAGCAATTAACATCAGTAGCATGACTTGTAATGGGAAACTTTCTACCTTTCTATATTTATTTGAATTTTGAGTCATTTTGTAAGGAGTGTAATTAGAATTGGAAAACGTGCCAAGTGCCATGATATAAAGGTTAACTTTGATAGCCATGAGGCAACTTAAAAAGAGAGAGACGAGTTCTTAACCCCTCAACGTCAAACGAAAGACCGTGAGAAGGGGGGGGTAGCAGAAGGGAATTCGGCTTCCCGTCCAACCGAAAGCCTCCAGCGTCAGGGCCCGCCACCCCTCACCTCCGGGGCGCGTACCCGGGGCGCTGCGCGGGCAGCCGGGCCCGCGTTGCCTCTAGGACCCAGCGGGCTCCCGGCGCGCTTTTCCCAGGGAGCCGGCCGCGGCCGCCACTGCTGCTGCTGCTCCGGCTGCCCATGCCCATGTATGTGCTGCGAGCTCTGGCTGGCCGGGGCCGGGCGCTGCGGGTGGCTGCTGCTGCTGCTGCGCGCCATTAATAGCCACGGCACAGGCCGCCGCCACGACCGGGCTTGTGCCAAGAAGGAGGCGGCAGCGGCGGCGGCGGCAGCGCCTGGCAGAGAGGAGCCATGAGCTCGGCGAGGAGTTCCGAGTCTCCGGCGCTGGAGCGTTTCCAGAGCCCGGGCAAAGGCCGGGGGCTGCGGGCGCTTCGCCGCTTCGCCGTCGGGGAGCTGCTCTTCTCGTGCCCGGCCTACACGTGCGTGCTGACCGTCAACGAGAGGGGCAACCACTGCGAGTGCTGCTTCGCCAGGTACCGCCCGGCCGGCCTGCCCGGCCGCTGCCCTTCGGCGCTCGCCCGTCCCCTGCCGGCGGAAGGGAGGAGGCCGAGCCGGAGGCACGAGAAGCGAGGGGGCAGGCGCTCGCCTTGGCGGCGCCCGCGAATTCCCCGCGGGTCCTAGCACCGGCGGCCCAGGGCGCGCTTCTCTGCGGAAGGGAAGGCCCTTCCCGGGCGGCTGCTGGCGGAGGCCGGGCGCGCGCGGGAGGAAGAGGGGCCGGGGCTCCTCCGGCTGGCCTGCCTGCTGCCTGGGCCCTCTCTCACATCCAACAGCCTCCTGCCTCAGCCCCACATGGGGCGCCCTCTCCCGCACCCCGAGACGTCATTCTGACTGCTGCGTGGCTTTGCCGGTAGCCAGAGAGGCAGCAAACCCACAGGTGGAGAGGAGGATCTCTTCTTCCTGTCTGGGAAACCCGCTGCACCTGTTGGATTTCTGGCTGCCCTTCAGCTGTCTCCCAGGGGACTCGAAAGTGGGATGGGGGGGGGATTAGAGGAGGCTTTACACGTGTCCAGGAGGTGTCGATGCTCAATAGCTGGATCCAGGGCTGAAAATGACAAAGCTGTGATTCAAAGGAAGCCATGCTTATCCTCAACTGTCCTTCAGAAAGAGCATGCATCCTTCTTTCTTTGTAGTTTGAGCCGTCAACTAAAATTCGCAACATCTCTGGACAGTAAAGGAGTAGAGAAAGGATTATCCAGCAGTAGATCATTTAATCTGGTAAAGTTAGTTGAATTAAGATCTTTCCACACATTTAGCCTGAGCTTAGTTAGATTTAGGTAGGCCTAACTAAGCCCACTGAAATCAAGCAATTTAGGGACATCTTGCTCTGTGTATGTTCAGGTGGTTGATTGCCTCTTAAAACCAATTACGTTCCTTCTTGGCACTGTTAAACTGGCATAAAAAGATGTGGTCTCCTCCAGTGCGATTTATAATTGGCATGGAATATTGTGCAAGTTATCTCTTCCTTGTTAAGAAAAGCAAAACTGAGGCTGAGTTCGTATGGCCCGTGAAGGCTTGAGATCTGTACATGCTATACCTTTAAAGCACATTCGAAACACATTTCTTTCCTCAAAAGAGTTCTGGGCACTGTAGTTCATTAGATGTTGCTGGGAATTGTAACTGTGAGGGGCAAACTACAATGCCCAGAATTCTTTGAGAGAAAGAATGCATTTCAAATGTGTTTTAAAAGATATAATGTGTACACAGCCATGGTTGTTTAGCTAAGCCATGGTTTGTGTTACCTCTGAACCCAAGGTGCTATTTGCGACTGACATACCAGGATCTGAAACTACAATTTGGAAGCTTGTTTGCAGATGAGCTTGTGCTAACTTTGGTTTGCGATTATGACTGAATTCATGGAAAAGTAGCAAACCATTGGTCCACTTTATGAAATGGCAGTTGCATCATGGGAATGAAGTTTTCTTTTCCTTGAGAGGCTATCGCACCGTGGGTATAGGAGTAAATGTGGAGCTTTTGTAGCTGAGCGAGGAAGGAAAAAGACAGCGAAGAAACACCTCTAAACATGATTTGTCTGCTATATGTCTCAAAAGATCAAACCATGTTTTGGGTTCTTATCTATAGCTAGCACAAGCCATGGTTTCACATTACATCTGAATCCAGCCTGAGCCTGGCACAGCGGGCCCTGGAGGTGGCTGGTGTATAGAAAGAATAGGCAGTAATCTTGGCAGGCAGAAATACCGCAGTCATCGCATGCAAGCTTACAGCTGTCATGGAATCATGTTGGAGTTTCAAGACCTACAGTTTCAAACAGGTGTATCTCTAAGAGAGATTGCTTGCAGAGGCCTCAGTATATTTCATCAGAGTCCTTTGGGTTCTGATATGCTGTAGAGTCTCCTGCAAGCATACTGTGGCACTGTAACTCTTCAAGATTGTTTTACCCCAGGCACTTTATATTACAGTCGTAGTAATAATAAGAATCCACAAACACCCATGTATGCATTGCAGCAGGCGGACTAGAAGACCCTCGAGGTCCCTTCCAACTCTGCAATTCTGTGAGTCTATGGTTCAGTGTCCTGAGAATCCCTAATCATTTAGTGTTAAAGGTAATATCAGAGTTGTGTTATAATGTCCACTTTATAGAGGTCAGAATTAGGAACATCATATTTTGTTTTAGAGAGTCTGTTACTCAGGTCTTCTGATGGGTCGTGTGGCTGTGTAAGCTCAAATGGAATACAGTTCTATGCTCAGGCACTCTAAATCTGGCACCAAGAAAACAGATTCTGCCATCTGTATAAATTATTCAAAAAAGAGAGAGAAGAAAGCACAATTCTGCCCTTTTTCATAGAACTGTAGAGTTGCAAGGGCCATCTAGTTCAACCCCCTGCAATGCAGAACTCGAACCTAAGACTAAGAGTCTCATGCTCTACCAACTGAGCTATCCTAAATTCACTCTTTTTTTGTTTTGTTACTTTGCATAAATCATTCTGGTTTTGCCAATCATGGGGTGGATGAAGACACGTGCCAGCTCCAATTCAGCCACATCTCTCGCTTCTCAGATTTCATCAGGGATTGCTCACATGCTTTCAAGAGCAACCGTGTCATCATAAGAGCTGCAAACTTGATTCATTTCATATACCAGCTTCATGCCCTCCACCCAAATCATCGAATCATAGAGTTGGAAGGGACCCTGAGGATCATGTAGCCCAACCTCCTGCAATGCAGGAATATGGAGCAATTCAGGAGTTTGTAGCTGTCCCATACCTATTTATCTATCGGGGAAAATCTTTAGCTTTCCTTCCAAACTGTGCTTAAGAGCTCCCTGAATGAGGGTCCGTTAATCCAGTCTCTTACAGCATTAACATGCTCCTAGGTGGAATTCCCTGTGCCTATGGTTTTGCTACTATTGACAAAGGCTATGCTAATTGGATGCAATGTTTGTAATATTTGCCATGGAATGGTATCATGGCTGTTGTCATAAAATGGTAGATTGATATTTATGTTCTGCTTTGTATTCTTAACTTCTGGATTTCGGGAGTGAAGTGAAACTGATTTGACCCTTTCCTTTCTTTCTGCCTGTCAAAAGTTTGATAACTTTAACTAGTACATTTTCTTTCTATTGGATATCACATATCTTTTCCATCTAGGGTAGCGGTTAAATGGTAACAAAATATATGACTTAAAACAAATGTTGCTCCCAATAAACATGCATCCTCTGGAGGAGTTAACTGTATCAAAAGATAAATTAACACACAGTATCCTCAAAAGTATTTTGTTAAGCTATTCTCATGGGCCACATAATGTGATATTTTATTATACAGTATCTTATTTATAAAATACTTGAAATGGCTTGGTGCTGTACCAAAATAACACCAGTCCTGCCCTCAATATGAGAGTTTTGCAGACACACTATAAATAGAAAAAGAACTGCGGAGGAAATAAAATAATAAAATATTCATATACTGTATAAACTTGTTATTTTGACCCCTAAACGCTTTAGGTAAAGGTAAAGGAACCCCTGAACATTAGGTCCAGTTGTGACCGACTCTGGTCAGACCTCACCTGGAGTACTGTGTCCAGTTCTGGGCACCACAGTTCAAGAAGGACACTGACAAACTGGAACGTGTCCAGAGCAGGGCAACCAAAATGGTCAAAGGCCTGGAAACGATGCCTTATGAGGAACGGCTAAGGGAACTGGGCATGTTTAGCCTGGAGAAGAGGAGGTTACGGGGTGATATGATAGCCATGTTCAAATATATAAAAGGATGTCACATAGAGGAGGGAGAAAGGTTGTTTTCTGCTGCTCCAGAGAAGCGGACACGGAGCAATGGATCCAAACTACAAGAAAGAAGATTCCACCTAAACATTAGGAAGAACTTCCTGACAGTAAGAGCTGTTTGACAGTGGAATTTGCTGCCAAGGAGTGTGGTGGAGTCTCCTTCTTTGGAGGTCCTTAAGCAGAGGCTTGACAACCATATGTCAGGAGTGCTCTGATGGTGTTTCCTGCTTGGCAGGGGGTTGGACTCGATGGCCCTTGTGGTCTCTTCCAACTCTATGATTCTATGATTCTATGACTCTGGGGTTGCGGCGCTCATCTCGCTTTACTGGCCAAGGGAGCCGGCGTACAGCTTCCGGGTCATGTGGCCAGCATGACTAAGCCGCTTCTGGCAAACCAGAGCAGCGCACAGAAACGCCGTTTACCTTCCCACCAGACCTATTTATCTACTTGCACTTTGACGTGCTAACCTAAACACTTTAGGAGCATTATTATTACCTACTTTATCTGTATATGGAATAGTTCATGGTTCTTTCATATTACTAATGGAGGCAACGTTGCATATAATATCAAAATATTGACGTGAGCCTCAGGCTTATGTACTCGCCCCTTCCCCTCTCTTCCTCCAGTGCAACCATGAAGAGGAGATTGGAAACCTTCTGTTTTAGATTAACTGTAGTTTAGTGCATTGTCCAAACTCCTAACTGTGGATGGCAGAAATCTTAACTATGGCTGGTAGGGTGGGGAACCTAGTTTAGTAGATTATGGCTTGAAGTTGTCTTTCCACTAACCATTGTTAAGTTGAACCAGTGTTTGTGTTGATTCTGATGGCATTACAAACCATGGTTAGCCTAAATTAGAAGTGAAAGTGCCTGATCTTCCTGCAGCTGCAGTGGAGGTGGAGGTGCATTTTGTTGTCCCAAGACTCACTAATGTCCAAAAGGCTCTCCAGGCGATTTACTTCTTCATCAAAGATGAGGTGCATTTAGTACATCAAAAACTATTCCTTTGCTGCCGGAAGGGGTGGTGGTGGACTAGATCCCTTAGGATCCCTTATTATTCTTTGTTGGATTGTAGCCAAATAAGGTTTACTCAGAGTAGAGGCATGTTAATGAACCTAAGTTACTCATGCCCATTGTTTTCACTGGGTCTTTTCTGACTAGGACTAGTGTTGGCTGCATTTTCTCGCTATACATAATGTACAAATTGCGAGGTATTTGCTGGAGAATTATCAGTTTGACTCATTAAGTCTATAAGAACATATATGCTTTATTTAACTGCCAATTTTCAATGTAAGAGGTGGGGGCTTTGGCCTTAGAGCTCTTGACAAAAAGAACATCATGAGCTTTTCTCTCATGCTGTAATTATTTGATGGTTTTAATAATAATGTAACATAAAAAGAAAAGGTAAAGGGACCCTTGACCATTAGGTCCAGTCGCGGACGACTCTGGGGTTGCGGCGCTCATCTCGCTTTACTGGCCGAGGGAGCCAGCGTACAGTTTCCGGGTCATGTGACCAGCATGACTAAGCCGCTTCTGGCGAACCAGAGCAGCACATGGAAACACTGTTTACCTTCCCGCCAGAGCGGTACCTATTTATCTACTTGCACCTTGTGCTTTCGAACTTCTAGGTTGACAGGAGCAGGGACTGAACAACAGGAGCTCACCCCGTCGTGGGGATTCGAACCGCCGACCTTCTGATCAGCAAGCCCTAGGCTCTGTGGTTTAACCCACAGCGCCACCCGCATCCCTTATAATAATTTCACACACCCCTCCCCAAAAAAACCAAGTAATATTGTTAGAAGGTTCCCCAAGAGGCAAGAGGTTCCAGGGCACAGTGCTTACCTGGGTTTGTCTTTCTTTGGAGAAGAGAACACTGGGGACTTCTGATGGTTTTCTAACATCTTCTAATAATTCGAAGATCTAATAATTCTATTACCAGCATAAGGAAGTAGTAGAGCATAGTTAGCTAGTAGAGCATAGGCAGTAATATCCCTGAACATCAATTGCTGGCAATCCCAAATGGGGAGAGTGCTCTTCCTCCCAGGACTTTCTATAGGCATCTGGTTGGCCACCGCTAGAGCAAGCCTTTGGCCTGATCCAACAGGCTCTTCTTGTGTTTACAAAATGGCACACTCTCACCAGGCATGAAAATTATCATGTCTCATTGGATCCACTGTGTACCCCAATATTCTTTTCAGTCTTTAGCTAACTCTGCCTCCGTATCTCTTTCTGCCTCCAAACTGCCCTTTATTCATATGCACCTGGCTCACTCTCCTTGGCTGTTTGCCCCAAGCCTTCTTTTCTTTTTTCTTTTTTTATTCCATTGTAATTATGATCCCCAGAACAACAGAATTGCTACACACTTCCCCAAGATGCTTTTCAGCCTTTAGTCTTCATTTTCTTTATTTGTTAACAAGATATAAAAATGCCTCTAGGCAATGTACAGAAAAACACACACCTTAAAATCACCAGTAAAACCAGATGTTAAAAACAAGTTGGCTTTAAAAATTGCAAAAATTGAATCGTCGGTTTTAAAATTTACATTATATTAAAATACATGTCATGGGTAGGCTTGCTGAAAGAGAAAGTATGATTAAGGTACCTGTCAAACCTTGATGGCTTTGTCATTCACAACTTTGCACCAGGACTATTAAGAAATGTTATTAATACAGTCATACCTTGGAAGTCAAGTGGAATCCATTCTGGAAGTCCGTTAGACTTCCAAAACGTTTAAAAATCAAAGCACGGTTTCTGATTGGCTGCAGGAAGCTCCTGCAGCCAATCAGTAGCCACTGAAGCCCCGTCGGACCTTCAGCTTCCAAAAAGAGTTTGCAAACCAGAACAGTCACTTTCATGGTTGCAATGTTCAGGAGCCAAAACGTTCAGGAACTAAGGTGTTCGAAAACCAAGGTACAACTGTACCCTACTGTGAAATCCCAGACTGTGCTCAGACACTGCTTTCAAGGCGAACTCATAGCGATAGTCCAACCCGCAGTAGCCTAACAGCTGTCTTGCTACAATATCTTAAGTTTAAGTTGAGATGCTTGTGGAGCACTGTTTCGTAAATATATCTGGGAGGTTGCTTGGCTGTGACCATAGGGAGATCCCTATGACGGCACTCAGGTGTAATGTGTTGCATTGCAGTATATAGCACAGTAGGTTTGCTGCAATGCAGCGTGATCTGGAACTAAGCTTGAGAACTTCCTCTTGCAGCCACTGTGTAGAGGTGTCCCAAAGGGAGATGACGTTTATATATTAAAAAAACAGCTTCACAGTTTATCCATTGTATAGAAAACTGTGCTCAGAAAGAGGGCCGCTAATTTAGTGCCTTGGTTGCAGAAAACTCAGCATGTTAAATAACTTTCTCTAGCATTTACGGCTTCAGGGACTGGGGTTGTTACAATTGTTTTCTTTTATGTAAGCACGCCCCAGTGTTAAACAGACACAAAAAAAGGGAGCCTTTGAGCTTCTCCGCAAATTAGCAGATTAAACAAAGTATATTACTTTTATTTGCCAAGAAGCAAATTATATCATCGTGCCTGTTAGATTCAGACATTTGCAGTGTGCACAATGCAATTAAAGTGATAACTGTGAGCTCCAGGGATAGCTCTTTCTTTTTATATGATAGCTTGACAAACTCATGCTCGAAGAGGAGAGGAAAAGGCTGGTGCACAGAACCACTTTTTCATGTTTAGAAGTGAATATAATTGAATCCTCCCCCCTGGTTTACAGGATAATTCCTCTCTTCAGCCCACCCCCCAGTTTAAGAACAGTTATAAGACGCCATCTGAGATCTTGCATGATAGCTCAGTTGGTAGAGCATGAGACTCTTAGCCTCAGGGTCATGGGTTCGAATACCATGTTGAGCAAAAGATTCCTGCATTGCAGGGGGTTGGACTAGATGACCCTTGTGGTCCCTTTCAACTCTACAATTCTATGATTCAGTGACCATATGGGTCCCATGCCTATTGACCAGGTCAGCTTCTGCATGCTGGAATGCTAATGGCCATAGTATTTTTATTAAATGATTGTCACCAGAGAGCCATGACAATTGTGTGCGTTGTCTCTTTTTAAGGAAAGAAGGCTTGTCCAGGTGTGGAAGATGCAAGCAGGCTTTTTACTGCAACGTAGAATGCCAGGTGAGTGTCACAGGAACCATGATGGGCAAAAAAGGGCATTGCTTCTATTTCATTCCAAATGTTTTCATACCTTCCTTCAATCTAAAAAAAAATGTCCAGGGCAGTTTACAATAGGTACCGTATTTTTCGCTCTATAAGACGCACCAGACCACAAGACGCACCTAGTTTTTGGAGGAGGAAAACAAGAAAAAAAATATTCTGAATCTCAGAAGCCAGAACAGCAAGAGGGATCGCAGCGCAGTGAAAGCAGCAATCCCTCTTTCTGTTCTGGCTTCTGGGATAGCTGCACAGCCTGCATTCGCTCCATAAGACACACACACATTTCCCCTTACTTTTTAGGAGGGAAAAAGTGAGTCTTATAGAGCAAAAAATACGGTAAATAGCAAGGATTTATGGATTCAAATGGGTTCTTAGCTGAGAGAGGAAAGGAGTTTGCTGCCGAGGGTCGGTGCCACTGTAGAATCATAGCCGTGGCCTGAATAATTCTAGGAATTTTGAAATTGCCATAATGAGTCACAGAGGATCATCTGTGCTGGGTCATAGTATCGCTGAACCATTAGATTAGTAGACTGCTACATGGCCCTAATTGCTTCAGAAGCTTCTGCCTGCTTTAAACATACCAGATGGCTTAACGTTATTTCACTAAGCTGGTGAGGAAGCTTGTGCCTAGCTGAGCAATCAGAAATAAAGGCTGGATTTAGCTTTTGCGGGGAAGGGAAAGAATCTGTTTACAAATGTACAGTCACCGCTGCTGCTAATAATAATAATAATAGTGTGCTTAGAAACCAACTGTGCTTTCACTTGGTTAGTCATATGCATTCATTACAGGGGCAAAGGAAGCTGCAAGTAGACCCATTTAGAGTAATTAACAGTTAGTGGGGGTAAAACTTTAATGCACAAAAGCAAAGGCCTCTAACCTTATTAAGTGTTTCTTTCCCTTGCTACTCTGGCACTTACCCACCTGGGATCATTAATAAAAACCCCAGGGTTGCATTTGTCATTTCTGAAGTGTGTTTGGTGTTCTAGTCCTCTGAGCTAATTCAGGGGTGAGGACCTTTTTTTTCAGATCGAGAGATATGCTTTCTATGGAAACATCTGGTGGGTAGGGAGGGCATGCTAGCAGCGGGCAGGGCAAGAGGCAAAAGAGGTCCAAACAATGGATGTAAATGCTACTTTTGCACAGTAAACCTCTTTGTCTACATGCTCTCACACACCTCTACTCTCCATCTAGGCAAGCAAGAGGCATTATCTCAGATCAAGGACACATTCAAGCCCAGCGAAAACACTTCATTTTACTTTTTCTTGGTACGGTAGTCTAGGTTCTGTACACACCCCTCTCTATCCTTCATCCAGACAAGAAAGAGTGATTCTCAAGCATTCAAGGACACATTCCAGGCGAAAACACTCCAGGCGGCTGTGAGGCAAGGCCGGCGAGGGGCGTGGCCAGGGGTAGAGGGCATGGCTCAGGAGGGCGGAGTCCCAGGAGCCAGATAAAGATTCCTGCGGGGCCACATTGGAGCTAATCCACACAGCCATTTTTGAGGTTAGAAACATCACCGGGATGTAAATTGGTTGTTGGAAGGTGTCGCTATATGAAAAGGTTGCACAGGTTACTTGATAGTGCTCTATCTACCTCAGAAAGGGTTGTCATGTGAACAGTTACTCATATTTTATTTTTGCCAACTCCCCCCCCCCCCATATTATGGCACCAAATTGAATATTTATGACTAATACAGCATTTTCATCCTGTCTTTTTGGTGCAAAAATGGCAGGTGGCGTCGTCTTTAAAATTACCCATTTGAAACAAAACAAAGAGCTGAAATCATACTCTGTGTTCAGAATATATCACCCTCCCCCCTTTTTTTCTGCTGCTGTTTTCCCCACTGTAGAGACATTGGCCTTGACATACATATTTGCCCCTTTGCTTTCAATGCAGGAATATGCATTTTGACTGATTTCACCAGCCTCTTCATGGATCAGGTGGGAACTGAAGCCATATTTCCAAGTCCTGCCACTATGGTCAGAATCAGCTAGTTTTAGCTAAGCAGGCATGTTCCTCTCTCCTTAATTGTGTGTGTGTGTGTGTGTGTGTGTGTGTGTGTGTGTGTCCCCTGAATGTGCTGCCCATCATTTTCACTAGCTGATCCAAATAATTATTCCTTTTAAGAGAATTGGAGGAGAATGGGAGAGAGGAAGCTGATACTCAGGAGTGGAGAAAAAACCTCATATCCACTGGCCAAATGTGGCCCTCCAAGTCATTCCTTCTGGCCCTCAGGACTTGCCCTAGCTAGGAAATGTGTGGCTATCCCCAATGCCGTGAACTCCCATCAGCTCCAGCCAACATGGCCCAGTAGTCAGAGATGATGGGAGTTGGAGTTCTGGGCCATGCATTCCCAAACCCCAAGTTACAGACTGTCCTACGTTCCTGCGCTTGCCTGCTCAAGGTGAGTGCTTCCCACGGCGCCTGCAAGGCAGTTGTAACAAAGCAGCCTTCCAAGAATGAAGGGTTTTTCTATCAGGCCCTCTGGACATTAAAAAGTTGCAGGAGAGTTGAGATTTATATTCAGGTCTTAAGATGTGCAATTATATAATGATTTCATAAAGCCCTTCCTTCGGGTCATCATGTGCGATGTAATGCTTTATTCAATAGGACTTCAAGAGACTTGATCTTTATATTTTGAACATACCAGTATTGATCGTGCCTTTTTCATCACACTGTATGAAATGCTTACGGGTTTTTTTTTGCTCCTCACTTGGTAGAATGCTTCTCTTCAGCATTTGGGGGCTTCTTCCAAAGTACTGTAAGAACATTGCCAACACCGAATTCTTTTTCAAAGTTACCTTCAAGCATTGTGTTCCTTAGAACCTAGTCTCTTCTGACTGTACGTGCTGCACAGACAATCTGTATCACATTTTCATCTTTATCTTCTTCAAAGACTTTGGGTGGTGGTTTTTTTTTAAGGTTTTTTTTTTTAGTGGCTCAGCAATTCTGTTTTGCAGCCGAGAAGGGCATTGGGGCCTTGATATTGAACTTGTAGGACTCTGCTGTATAGCAAATGTTTCTCTTTCGTACCTCCATGAAAATGCATGCTCTTTGCTTTGGTTTTCTTCACATTACACAGTCAACCCTTACATTTTCTCTAAACTAAAACATCCCAAATGCTGCAACTTTTCCCATCCCCTTGATCATTTTGGTTGAGCTTTCTTTTCTTTCATTTGCATCGTGGTGGTCTTGATAGGAGAACTAGCTTGATAGCTAGTTGGTTCCATTCTGCCTTTCACAACTGACGGATCAAAGCTGGCTAACAACCCCAATTGAATTCAGATAACATGCACAGCTATTTATCTAAAATAGTAACAATAAATTTTGGGTCAAAGGAGCATTAGACCTAGTGCCGTCTTCTTTTTATTCCACCTCAGAAACTGGCTGTTAACAGCACTGTAGATAAGTACTTTGAGAGGGCAGCATTTTACAAGTGTAGATATGATGAACTAAGTCTTGGGGACACAGGCTGTTTTTTCCTACTATAAAACACCTCTATTCAATTCTTAATAAGTTGAGGTCAGCTAATTATAGTGGATGCAGCCCTTTATTTGTCTTTTTTCTCTTTCAATGTTTGAAGAAGCTCTCAAAAGAAAAGAAAACATAATGGGAAAGGGGGTGGGAGGTTCCCCCCTTCTTTTCCAACCATTTTGTGCTTCCACTAATATGCCTGTTAACTTCCTCAAGAGGCCACCTTGACAGATAATGTGGGTAGTTTTGGTTCTTTGTTTTTAAAGAGAATCAAAATATTCAGAAGTGATAATAGAAGCATTCAGTGAATTTGTTTCCTGGCATAGTCATTTACTAAAATGCTTGTGCCTTTGTGTGGCAAATAAAAAGACCCCAGGGTATGACTTACCTTTAAAAAAATATATGCACAAGTAAATAGGTAAAGGGACCCTTGACCATTACCAGTAGGTCCAGTCGCGGACGACTGGGGTTGTGGCGCTCATCTCACTTTACTGGCCAAGGGAGCCAGTGTACAGTTTCCGGGTCATGTGACCAGCATGACTAAGCCGCTTCTGGTGAACCAGAGCAGCACACGGAAACGCCGTTTACCTTCCCACCGGAGCGGTACCTATTTATCTACTTGCACTTTGTGCTTTCGAACTGCTAGGTTGGCAGGAGCAGGGACCGAGCAACAGGAGCTCACCCCGTCGCAGGTATTCGAACCGCCGACCTTCTAAGGCAAGCCTTAGGCTCTGTGGTTTAACCCACATGTATTAAATCCTCATAATATTGATAGACCCTGTAGGAAAGCTTTTAAATGACAGGCCAATCCTGTAGATCAGGGATGGCAAACCTATAGATGCTGTTGCGCCTCAACTCCCATCAGCCTCAGCAAGCTTGGTAGGGAGGTTTAAAGCAGGTTTTCCAACTGTGCTAACTCCTTTTCAGACATCCCCCCCCACACACACACAAAAAAGCTCCAAATGAACACAAAGCCTGATTAGCTGCTTGCTTCTACAGTGGTACTTCGGTTCTCGAACGTAATACGTTCTGGAAGACTATTTGGCTTCCAAAACATTCGAAAACCGAGGCGCAAAGGGCAGCCTGCAGTTTCAATGGAGAAAACTGGAAAAAAACCACAGCAGAATCCATTCGACTTCCCATGCACATTCGAAAATGGAAGCATTTACTTCCGGGTTTTCGGCTTCCGAAAACCGCAATATTTGGCTTCCAAGATGCTTGAGAACTGAGGTACCACTGTATTAGTGATGGTTTCTGCATAGCAGTGAGCAGTTCTTACCTACTATACACAGATAATTCACTTATGAATCTGCCTTAGGCATGCACACGCACACGCACTCAGAGTACTTTAAGTGTATTTGCAAGGATGTGACAAAGCATTACCTGCCCGGAGATGACGGTGAAGAAAAGGAGGTTCTGCTCAAAAAGGTGGCTTGTTTAAATATGGTTTGGGCAGTTTAAGTATTGAAGCAGAGCACATTATATAATTTGTGTGCATGGTGTTCCTCAGGTATCTGATCTACCTCCCCTATTTTCCAATGGCACATTTTTCAACTGCGCAGTTTCCCCTCAACACTACATTTTGCATCCAGTTGCGTAAAAAACCTTGCCAGCAAGCATGGCTGAGGGCCAAGGATGATGGGAGTTGTAGTTCAGCAGTGTTGCACGGCCCCAGATTCCCCACCCCTGCTGTAGGTTCAGTTGTGGTGAATAAGTAAGGGCGCATTCAGATGTGGGGAATCTTGCACTGGTTTTCCCAACTGTAATACTGGTTCTCTGGTTCCTTTTCTGGGTGTTCCTTTCATGCTGTCGAACCAGCTGTGTTATGTGGCTTTTTGACTGATTTGCTAAATTTCATCCACACCAGTGAGTGTGATGTGTCACAACAGCGAATAGACAGCGTCACTACTCCCCCACTCTTTCCGCACATCTGTGCTTCTGTTCCCTTATGAGTCACCCATGAAAATGGCAAAAAAAGAACTGTATGCTGGTATACAGCCCCAAATTTACTCCCGTGAGTTTTCCAGGTTAAGGGGACAGCAAACTGGGTTTTTTCTGGACTCAAATAACACAGGAATGAGCGCTGAACATGCATTATATTCCATTGGTTTTCTGTGTCATGTGAAAGCTCATGTGGAAACCAACTCTTAGGGAAACTTGGCGGGGGGGGGATGGAATAATACAGTGTGAACAAACCTTTCAGAAAGGTGAGAATCACACTTTTCTGTATACGTGGCATTCTTCTTATCCTCAGGGCTGCAAAGCTAGGTTGCCAACCTAATTTTGAAGAACTAAACAGACAGAAATAAGGAGAATGGTAATCAGAAATGTAAATTCACCTTCCCTCCCCTGGGCCACAATTCTGCTTTTTATATAATGTCAAGGGTTGATTGAGTCTAATTTTCACACTTGAGAGCACCAGTTTTATGAATAGTGTCCTTGGCTCTGTTACGTGGAATCAAGGATGTTAGGCTCTCCAAATGTGTTTTGGCATCAGTCCAATTTGTGAAAAGAACAATACGAAAATTACATGAGTTATTTATTTATTTATTTATTTTTTAAAGTGAGAATTTCACACGTTCTTTCTAGAAATCTTCCCCTTTCCCTTTGACCTTTTCCCCTTGACTTACTACCTCCATGTAGACATGTCTAGAACACATAGGCTAGCTTTGAGGCCATCTGTGGGAGATTCCCCGCCTCAGCCCCACAGATTCATTCAAAGTATTGGCTTCCGGGGACTTTTGTTATTGTATTAGAATCCTATAGGCTTCTGGCACATCCGTAGCTGATGGAAGCCATTTTGAAGAGCCCAGTGGAGGTAGCTCATGCTTCCGCTTTGATTTTTATAAAAGCGGGTGCCCTAGCAAACTTGCTTTTCCAGACATTTTCTCATTCTGTCCTTAAATCAGAGAGAAATATTGTCTGCATAGTCCCTCCCCACCCCCTTGAACCTACAGTGTCGTTAATACAGCACTGGGGAGTTGGCTAGAACAATGCTGCCCGCTACCAGTCAAACGGCTTAGAAAAATTGTGGAAAAGAATGTTAAACGTGGTCCTGCTGTGATCACTAAAAAGGCCGCTGTCACAGTGTTTCCATGCCAGGTATTACTCAGACACTGCTCCCCTCTTCTGCAATATTCCTGGCTTTTATCTTGTTTTGCACAATTCAGCCATATCTTGTCCCTTTAACCACCTTACTAGTTCACATAACTCAGTCGGATTCTGCCTGAGGAAAAATTTTAATTAACTATGCTTAAAGAATCAAAGGGTCAGGACGGAACATTGGAAGGACATATTGGCATTGTCAATTTTGTATCTTCCTTAACATTTCTTTCTTTTTCTTTTTCTTTTTTTGGCGGTACAAACCCAAGTGCGGAATGTGGTATTCTACCCCTTGTGTACCAAAAAGTTAATTGTTTAGTGAAGAATCTAAGCTGCTACTTGACAACTTCCTTTCTGGTCAAGTGTCAGATATTGTGACCATGAAATAAAGCCCTTTTCAGTCACACACACACACAGCTTTATTATGATTGCTAATTTGGCAAATATAAGTGGAGATTTCTGGGAAACATTTCCCACACAATCAGGTTTCTGAATGGTCACCATCCATTTGCTGGTGGGAAACTGATTGCTGGACTTCACGTAGGCCTTTGGCCTAGTCCAAAAAGGCTCTTCTTTGGCTCTTATGCTTATTTCTTGACAACTCTTGGTACTTCCAAAATTTGCCCATTTAATTTTTGTGTTTGTTATGTCCATAATACTCTAGGTATAAAGAACTTAATCCAGTGACTTCAACCAAGTCATTGTCATTAGATAGCTCAGTTTGACTGTTGTGGCCTCCCCAATAGATACATGTGCTTAGATAGCATTTATTTCAGAAGGACAAGCTCTTAGGAAGCTGCCTTATATTGTGCCAGGCCATTGATCCATGCTTGTCAATATTGTCTACACTGGGTTGCAGTAGTACTTTAGGGTTTCAGACAGGGGTATTTCCCAGCCCTGCCTGGAGATGCCAGGATTGAACCTGACACCTTTGAATGCAGAGTATTTGCCCTGTATTTGAACTGCAGCATCTCCCCATTCCCAGGTCCTTGACTAAGGGATGAGCTGCAGCTGCAGGACAATTGCGTTTGTTTTGCATTCTCATTCAGAAGAAAAATGCTAGGTCATCTATAGGTCTCATTGAGTATTTTGTCAGGAGTATCTATCCTTGGAGAGTTGGTTAGTGGGTGGGTCATGAAATGGAAGCAGAGGCTGTGGAGGATGCAGGGGGGGGAGAGGACAAGCAGAGAGTATGTCGAGAGTCCTCTGCACTTTGGCAAGAGATGGGAATGTGGGGAGGCTGAACGGTTTGAGTGGGTAGTGAATCTGACTTGCCCAGGCTCCAGGCCAGCTGGCAGCCAAATCCACAACACTGCTCTCGATCTGTGACCTTGTAACTAGTAGTGATGGCCACCAACTTAGATGATTTTAAAAGAGGATTGGTCTGATTCATGAAGGATAAAGCTATCAACAGCAACCAGACATGATGGCCATGTTCAGGGTATGCCTCTGAATACCAGTCGCTGGGAATCACAGGCAGGGAGAGCACTCTTGCTTCCATGTCCTGCTTGAAGACTTCTCATAAGTCTCTAGTCAGCTACTGGGAGAGCATGGTGCTGGAATTGATGGGCCTTAGGCCTGATCTGGTAAGGCTTTTCCTGCGTTCTTAACTAGTCTAGGGTGTGACTTTTATAATACATCGTTTTGGAGCATGTTAAAAACAACCTCATGAAATAGCTCTTTTATCTTCCGATTGGTTCCATCCTTAGCTGACTTTAGCAAGTGTCCTAGAGGAAACACATTTCACTTGACCTTCAGGCCCAGGTGGGGCGCAGGGCATCCTCTTCTCATTTGCAAAGCACAAATTGCAATGTTGATTTTGTTTTTTAAAAAATGCCTGTTTAATCTTCCAGAAGCAGGACTGGCCCCTGCACAAGCTGGAATGCTCAGCCATGTGTGTGTTTGGGCAGAACTGGAATCCCTCAGAGACTGTGAGACTCACTGCAAGGATTATTGCCAAACAGGTGAGCAGGACCCAAAGACTTCGGCCAGATTTCTGTTTTGTTTTGTTTGGAGATGGAAAGAGCCAGGGAAGTGACTGTGTGCTCCAGTAGCCTCCGGTGCAAAGTCGCTTCACAACATCTTGTTTGTGTATACGCCGGCGGTTGCTCCTAACATGAGTAGTTGAAGCATCTGCAGTGTTTGTGCTTAAGAACCTCTTGAAGTACTGTGCTCTTGAACCCTTTCCATCTATTAAGTCACCTCCCTCGTTCTTCATTGAATTTCTCCGTCAAACACGCTTTGCGCAAAGTCTTTGGAAAGCAAAGCCTTACAAATGTAATAGCACCTTTTATTCCCAATGTCCTCGGGCACAAGACTTGACTGCAAGGAGTTCACACAGTGTTTTCGCATTGCATAACGTTGATGTGAAGCTCAATGAAACAGGGTTTATTAGGGGAACTGCACAAACCTCTGTTTCAGATGCTCATTATGGCCGTGTTGCCGTGAATTCCAAATTCTTCTGTCTGTTTTGGCCAGATTATCCACAGTCCAGCTGTCTGGAGGCTGTTGGTTCCTTCACATATGACATTACATACACATGGGCTTCTTGGCAGCTTGACCAGGGACAGTCCTGTTCCCCAGGCTGAAGAATCAACCAGATGCTCCTCTCACTAGGAAATGAAGCCTCTGTGGCAATATGTCCTTCCCAAATGGAAAGGCCACCTTTCAGGGAAGAACGGACCACTTGTACTTAAAAACAGGGAAGGATGCAGAGGAACTGCAATACCTTAAAGACCGCCTCTCCCCATATAAACCAACCCGGACTCTGTGATCCTACTCTAAATCCCTTCTTTGTGTGCCTCTTCCACAAGAGGTCGGGGGGGGGGCAGCAGCACAAGAACAGGCCTTTTCTGCAGTGGCTCCTCATTTGTGGAATGTTCTTCCCAGGGAGCTCCGTCTGATGCCTTCATTATACATCTTTAGGTGCCTCAAAATGTCCCTCTTCTCCCAGTCCCTTGGCTGATGAATATTCTACAGCCTTTTAACTGTGTTGGGGGTGGGTATTCATCTTCTTTTTAAACTATTTATTTTGTGCTGTTATCTTGTGAACTGCCCTGAAGTAGAACCAGAATCTTTGGACATATATAAATTTAATAATTAATAGATAAAATTCATAGAATTACAGTGTTGGAAGGGATCTTTGAAGGCCATCTATGTGAACTCAGTGCTCCATGTCGGATCTGCAATCAACTGCAGCATCGCTGGCAGACTTTCCGTTCCAGAGTAGTTTAATAATCAATATATTTTCCCAAGGAACTCTGGGAGTTGTAGTTCGTGGGAAACAGGGGTCTCCTAACGGCTCTCAGCATCCTTAACAAAGTACAGTTCCCAGGATCCTCTGGGGGGAGTCGTGGCTGCTAAAGTGTGGCATAGTAGTGCTTTAAATGTTCAGTATGGATGTGGCCCAGGTCTCCATAAGTAGGAAGCCCTCTAAGCTGGCGGGAAATCTGACCCTATTTATGGAGGCTCCTCCCAAGGCAAAATGTGGTTTTCTGAAGCATGTTCTCTCTCACTCATAGAGTGTTCGCAGGGAAACAAAGTGGGACCAGTAAGTTTCAAGGTCACAGCTTTGTATGTTATCATAACGCTCCCAACTTCTCTCCCCCTCTGTAATAATGATTAAAAAAAATCAAACCTCCTAAACAATGGCCTTTGAAGAAATTCTGTACATTTTGAGAACTGCTTCTGTGATAAGGGTGACCCAGATGCAGTGGGGAGAGAGGACTCTGAAGGCATGCTGGGATGGTAGCTTGCCTGATTCCCCCTGTGCTTCTTTCCTTTCCTTTCTTTTTAAATTTTTTTTTAAACACACTCTAGTGGTGATCCACAAACAAAATTAGATGTTTAATGATGAAAAGTCATTGGAATAAATTTGTGCTTTTATAGCTTGCAGGGAAGTGGGAGGGAGCCCTACATGCCATATGAAAGCTAAATATGCAAACCATAGTCCCTGAACCTCAGCTGCTGGGCCACCTGCAAACCCATATTTAATGGCCAAGATTACAAAGAAGTGGCCTTAGGCCAACGCTGGAGTGTTGCTTTTGAACTCTGTCAACATTGAGATTATTCACTTTCCTCAAAGCAAAGTCTGCCTTCTAATAGCTTGCTGCTGTTAGTTGCTTTCTGCAAATCTGCAGCTAAAAGAAATTACGATTTTCGTTTAAAAATAATAATTAAGAAATACTTGTTCTGGCATTTTCACAGGAGTTTTGGGACATAGTGGCCTAGGGTGTCAGCTCTGGTGCAGTCTGCACTCTGGTGCAGTTTGTTGACTCATCTGGGCAGTGTGTGTGTATGTGTGTTAGAAAGGACAGTTGTGAATAAGCTGATGGAATGTGTGTGGGATTTTTTGAAAATGTCACTTTTCTTTTCTTCATTACTAGAAAACACACCCTGGAAGGACTGAGTCAGAAAAGCTCCTTTCTATAACAGAGTTTGAATCCCGTAAGTATAGAAAAATGGAAGACTCCAAGGGTTATTCCATAGGGGGTTCAGAAAGTGTTTTGTAGCTGTTCAACAAAACCTGTCTGTTTTTACATGTCTCTCTCTCGCTCTCTCTTCCTGTAGTATTGAGAATGATATTTATTCGTCGCTCTTTAGAAAAAGTCTCAAAGTGACTAACAGTACATCAAAAATACAATGCAATAGGCAAAAACAGTAAAAAAACAGACACAATACAGTACCAAAAGGTTACATTATCACTTCTGTTATGAATTATCATTGTTTATCTTGAATACAGTGAGTTTTCGTGGAAAAGTCACAGGCTATTTATAACCTCTTTGGCCTTGCTGTTTGCATTTTGCCTCTATAGCTTTGCACATACTAATCATAGTACAATACACAAACATTTTATGCACGTGCCTTTCTATATCTACCTCAACAAGGTGTCCCATTCTCCTCTCCCCCCACCCTGCTGCCACCACCAATGATTCTATTGTTCCCCTTAACTTGGGATAAAAGTGAATTGAAATTCTGGTCCATTGATTACCCTTCTGTCTTGTCAAAACAGCCTTCCTGGCAACTCGGGTGACTTTGGTGGATTGTAATGTGAAATTTTAAAACAGCCAGCATTGTTACCAGGGGGCATCTAGGCAGTGATGGAACAGTTGCTTGATAGTGACAGTGTCTTTGGGGCTAATTGCAGAGCCCTCCAGTGTTGAGTTGCATATCTGTCACTGCCAGTCAAATCTGACATGTCCTCCACAGTTGCCGCATCCCAAATGCTCCTAAAGGTGATCTAAGGAGGAGTGAAGGCCTGTGTGTGTGTGTGTGTGTGTGTGTGTGTGTGTGTGTGAACTTATTTCCCCAGCTCAAGGCAGAGCTCAAAACTGAGCCGCTATTAAGAAGGCTAAGCAAACTGGAATTGCCTGCCAAGCATTCGTAGTGTTGCTCTCTTCCTTGGTGCTGCCAATAAGGGGAACAAGTGAGCACAACCATGCACATATTAGAGAACTATAATGTCTTAGATTTGCCTCCTGCTCAGTCGGAACACCTTGAGATGCAGTCATGAAATGCAGCTATCTCTAGGAATAAATGTACAACTTTTGTGCATTTGACAAGAATACCACTTCATTCTATTTCTTGTATTTTTAAGAAGACCATTTAAAAAAAACCCACCAACCTTCTGTCTTTAGCCTATTAGGTTGTTTAATGTGTTGCTTTTTTAGGCATTGAGCAGAAGTGGGCTGCAAGATCACATTTTTATACTGTATGTGGGGGGGGGGAGGAGTTTGGATTTGATATCCTGCTTTATCACTACCCAAAGGAGTCTCAAAGCGGCTAACATTCTCCTTTCCCTTCCTCCCCCACAACAAACACTCTGTGAGGTGAGTGGGGCTGAGAGACTTCAGAGAAGTGTGACTGGCCCAAAGTCACCCAGCAGCTGCATGTGGAGGAGTGGGGAAGCGAACCCGGTTCACCAGATTACGAGTCTACCGCTCTTAACCACTACACCACACTGGATCTTCTCCTCCCCTCCCCCGCCCCACCTCCCGCTCACACACACACACTCACTCTAGGATCTCTATCATTTACTGAAGTCTGGCGTGGCATTTATCAATATTTTATTTTCGATTGATTGTTTTTTAACCAGAGTAAAAACCCAGTTTTGATGTCCCTTCCCACACAGGGAGGCCTTTCATTAGGTGTCATTTAATTCAGTGGTTCAGTGGCTTACTTGAGCATTCGTTAGTAGTGCATTGACAAATACACAAAAAGATTACACAGTGCGTTTCATAAGCCAATATTATTCCCAGCTAATATATGGGTAGAAATGTGCCAGCTGTTAGATGCTTCCTGGCATTGTTCCCTTCCACAAGGCCTACAAGGAGGAAAATGATACTCCCTGCAGTTCAAAGAAGAGTTCTTGTGACTGATTCTCTTTTCTTCGAAGGCGTCCTGTCTTGAAGCGGACTTCGCTGCACTTCACTGCAAGTAAATTGGTCTTTGTATTGAAAAGGGATTTCTTTTCCTTTGCAGATCTCGATAAGCTCGACAATGAAAAGAGAGAGTTGATTCAGAATGACATCTCGGCTCTCCATCACTTTTATTCAAAGCATATAGAATACCCTGACAATGCAGCTCTTGTGGTCCTTTTTGGTCAAGTAAGATGGGTTTTAAAAAGGGGGTAGGGGGTTAGGCTGGATCCAAATGGCACCTTTGGGGTCATATGATCTTGCACTGAACCAGAAATACAGGAAGTAAGGTTGAAAAAGAAGCTTAGAGTTGTGTGCAATTTTGTGTGATAAATCCCACATTTTGGGCCCTGCCAGCCCCACAAAACTCTGTCGGATGGGGCAGGAGGAATGGTCTTTGCTTCAAAATGATTTAAGGGTGTTGCATGCACTGAATTGAATCATCCCCAAAAACCCTCTATTGGAAGCCTCCTAGTGATTCTGGAAACCAAAGCCTTGGCAAATAATTTTATGCATGTTTGCATATTACATTTCTTCAGTATTTGTCCCAAAAATGTAAAGTCTGGAAGTGATCTATGCAATTCTCATTTTTTCCCCTTTTGATATAGTCTAGTACTCAGTCCCGTTTTCTTTAGCTTTTACCCTTTTAATTTATTGTTGACTTGCTTTAAAAAAGAAACAATAATATGTATCATAGAGTAGATATACAAAATGCAGACCAATACATAAACATACTGAGCACATATTGTAAACATAAACACTATATATTAGGAAATGATTTTTTTACAAACATCGAGATAGTAATGTTTGATGTCAGTACATGACATGAATGCTGTTGTATACACATTTTAAAAGATGCTGCTGTCTAAATGATGTAATGGAAGGTACGGCTTGGAACTGAATGTCATTTTGAGACTGAGAATAACACACTCAGCTGCCTTTTCGCCCCACCTGGTTCCAGGATGCTGACACACTCTGTTGCGGCTCAGCCCGGCTGCCGCATCCTTAATCTTCCACTATAAAACTAAATTGCAGGCAAACTCTGACCTCCCTTCTTGTAAAGCTAGTCGCTCAGCAGCAAGACTTGATTAAGAATAAGCAGCATTCTAATCAGATTAATCAGGATGGTGCAGACAAATATGGTCACTTAGGCATGCAATGCTCAACAAGCCAGCAGGTTTTTAATTTCTCTCCGTCTTTCCCTTTCTCTCAGGTGAACTGTAACGGCTTCACAATTGAAGATGAAGAACTTTCACACTTGGGATCAGCGATATTCCCTGAGTAAGTGTTTTAGATGCAGTATCTCCCCCAGGGGGAAAACACACACACACACAATTTCTTAGATCTATCAATTAGTTTCCAACAACAACAACAAAATCCCCCAATGCTGTAAGTTATTTGCAAAGCTGAGCAAGGCATTCCTTTCTCAGCTCTTGGAGTCCTGCACGCAGCTCCCTTCCTCTTCGTGTTCAACATCTGTGCCTGTCTTATGAACTAGGTCCTCACCGTATACCAGGTCTGAGTGGTCCAGGATCTCAAAGGGCCAATACTTGGGCCAATACGGTAATTGTCTTGAAACTGTTGAGATTTTAAGGTGCTTTGCTGTGGCTATGCTGCAAGCAGCTGTTTCCTAGGACTTCACTTGTGGAGGTAAATTCTATAAGCTGATAAGACATTTTGTTGTCTTTGAGATTCCTTCATGAACTCGCAACTTTGCCCTGATCGTACAGTTGTAATAATAAACTTCATAAAGAGACTTTTGAGCTGCTCTGCACATAACGTTAAATCAAATACAGGCTTGCTGCAAACGCACAGGTTTCCAAAGAGGCCTTTGCGGCTGCTGAGCTACTGCTCTGGTCCTGCTGCTGTTGCACTGCTGTGAGCTAAGTCATGGTTTGCCTTAGTGAGCCATCCAAACCCAAGCTCATGGTTTGTTTCACTCCAAGCAAACCATGGGCTTTAACCAATGTTTGTCTGGAGGAGACGAGCCTCCACAATGTTAAGCCAAACTATGGCTTGCTTTCCATGAGTGTAATAGCAGGAGGACTATGGGGAGGACTGCAGGTGCGATCCATTCCCCAGGAGCCCTCACACTTGCACATCTGTGCTGAGCCATGTCCAAACCAGCCCATTCAACACAGGTAACTGCCGCAAGTCCTGCAGTTCATAGTGCTCTTCCTTTAATATTGCTGCTCATGGAACAAATGGGTGCCCCCTTTTTTTTTGTCAGTGTGGCGCTCATGAACCACAGTTGTTGCCCCAACGTGATTGTCACCTACAAAGGGACCGTGGCTGAAGTCAGAGCTGTGCAGGAGATAGAAGCTGGCGATGAGGTAACTGTGCAGTGAATGCCTGCTTTCAAGGGATGGGGAGGGACTGGTTTGTAAAACACAGGGCCTGCCATGCACCTGCGGTGTGTCTTTCCATCTGTGTGGTAAACTCATCCTCCACACCCCATTTGAGGATTCTCCCCTTCATTTCCAAATCCAGTTACGACGATGTGGTCTTTAAACTGTGAGAGCCAGCACCTCCCCTCTCGAAATGGTGACTTCTTTCTCTGACAGAAACCACACCTGACATTTAAAGGAGGTCTTCTGTCCAAAATGGCAGCTCCCTAATGAGGTCTCCCTCACCTCTCCCCACAAGTATTAGCCAGACTTAACCCATGTTCCTTAAGCATGTTGTTTAACCATGTTGTCCTCCTCTCTGTGAGGAATGGGGATTGGATGTAAAATACAGTGGTACCTCGGGTTAAGTACTTAATTTGTTCCGGAGGTCCGTTCTTAACCTGAAACTGTTCTTAACCTGAAGCACCACTTTAGCTAATGGGGCCTCCTGCTGCTGCCGCGTCGCCGGAGCACGATTTCTGTTCTTATCCTGAAGCAAAATCCTTAACCTGAAGCACTATTTCTGGGTTAGCGGAGTCTGTAACTTGAAGTGTATGTAACCTGAAGCGTTTGTAACCCGAAGTACCACTGTAGGACGGTGCAAAAGGTTAAAGGCATGCTGTTTTTCAGCAACAGAATCACGGGTATTTCCCCCCCTTGAACTCAGATTTGAAGAGGTCACTTAAATAGGCCAAGGGTAGCTTGTCCTCCTGCTTATTTAACTTATATGCAGAATTCATCATGCGAAAGGCTGGGCTGGATGAATCCCAAGCCGGAATTAAGATCGCCGGAAGAAATATCAACAACCTCAGATATGCAGATGACACAACCTTGATGGCAGAAAGTGAGGAGGAATTAAAGAACCTTTTAATGAGGGTGAAAGAGGAGAGCGCAAAATATGGTCTGAAGCTCAACATCAAAAAAACTAAGATCATGGCCACTGTGGTCCCATCACCTCCTGGCAAATAGAAGGGGAAGAAATGGAGGCAGTGAGAGATTTTACTTTTTTGGGCTCCATGATCACTGCAGATGGTGACAGCAGTCACGAAATTAAAAGACGCCTGCTCCTTGGGAGAAAGGCGATGGCAAACCTAGACAGGATCATTAAAAGCAGAGACATCACCTTACCAACAAAGGTCCGTGTAGTTAAAGCCATGGTTTTCCCAGTAGTGATGTATGGAAGTGAGAGCTGGACCATAAAGAAGGCTGATCGCCGAAGAATTGATACTTTTGAATTATGGTGCTGGAGGAGACTCTTGAGAGTCCCATGGACTGCAAGGAGATCAAACGTATCCATTCTTAAGGAAATCAGCCCTGAGTGCTCACTGGAAGGACAGATCGTGAAGCTGAGGCTCCAATACTTTGGCCACGTCATGAGAAGAGAAGACTCCCTGGAAAAGACCCTGATGCTGGGAAAGATGGAGGGCACAAGGAGAAGGGGACGACAGAGGACGAGATGGTTGGACAGTGTTCTCGAAGCTACAAACATGAGTCTGACCAAACTGCGGGAGGTAGTGGAAGATAGGAGTGCCTGGAGTGCTCTGGTCCATGGGGTCACGAAGAGTCGGTCACGACTAAACAACAACAGCTTCAGATACTGCCTGCAACATGTCAGGCCGGCCTGTTTCATAACCTAACCCACTCCATTAGTCCACCACATGACTACCACTCCCTTCCCCACAGATCCATGCTCACCTGACGTTCCCATGAGGGGCGAGGACATCGTTTACTTTTGCTGCATTCCAGAAATCCCAGTTGTGGGGTTATTCAGGAAAATATTTACGTGTTCCCTTTGAATGCCTTATACTTATTCATTTATGTAAAATAAAGATGATTAAACGGAATAACAGCAGTGCCAACAGAAAGAGTGTGTGTTAACAAGTTGGTAGAATATTCCTAATCAAGGGACTATTGAACTCCTGGAAAAGGTTCTCTGCCATTCAATTAGCGCAGAAGCGCAACAGATTTGTCCTCTGTGGCGTGGCCTGTGCCTCCACCTTCTGGCTCAATGTGGGTACTGCATGGGAAACCTGTCAAGATTTCTGTGTGTCTGCGTGTGTGTTTAGATTGGCTCCCATTTTTTCTGCCTGGAGAAAAGCAATTGAGATGCACTCACTGTAGGATAAAAACAAGCAACTGCAAACTAAAATCAACTTGCCCTGGGCATGTTGAGAGAAGGTGAAGGACACACATGCACAGAAACAAGAGCAGGCTCGATGGAAAACCATGCGTTGGCGCTGGAGCAGATATATGTTTGGTTTTCCTTGTAGCCTTCTAATTTTATTATATTTTGGGTGAGAAATTTTAAGATCAGCATTTGAAACTTACTGTCTTATTTTATAACCGGAAGAAAATTATTTGAGTTTGCGTGTATTTGTGTATTTGGAGTTCTGTTTTCTGCTTCTGCTTTTGCTTCTTCTTCTGAGCAGATAAGATACTTTGCTAGCCAAAGCAAACTGAGTGGCTGTTTACTTTTTTGCATCCACAAAGAGGCTTAGAATAAATGTGTCTGCCTATATGCCCTTCTGTGTTCAGACTTGCAGCAAAATTCAAAATCCAACAAAAACAAATCTCAAGATTCCGGCCATGATATAGAACCCTGAGGTCATCTAGTCCAACCCCCTGCAGTGCAGGAATCTCAACTAAAGCATCCATGGCAGATGGCCAGCCAACCTCTGCTTAAAGTACACCATCTTCCAAAGGAGTCTATTCTCCATCTATTAACAAGAGTATTGGTGGTATCAAACAAAACTGATCTGCTGACGCACAAAATTTTGGTTGTGCAGTGGAACTTCCCCTTCTCTCCCCTCCTTTTGGGAGATGGTGGGTCCGGCTCCCCACAAGGTCTGAGGGACGGTGGACTGGCCCCATCCTGAAAAAGTTTGCTGACCCCTGGCTTGGAACCTTCTCCAGGGAACATGAGGAACATCAGGTTCCTAACTGCAGGAAGGCCTCTGAGCTGGATGCAGTTAGGCTCCCTCTTCAGAGAGTTAGAAATGGAGCAGGCATGGATAGGGATGTTGTGTGTGCTCCTCCCCACTTTAAGCTGACACATGTTCAGCCATTAAAACCTGCAGATTCTATCAGTGGTAAACAAACTGAACTTGGGCTGTATTTTCCTGGGACTTAGCCCTGAAACCTGGCGCATTGTGGAAATGCAGCAAGTTTCTGGCCACTCACTGCAACCAGTTTGTAGATCAGTGTATGTTTATGTATAACCTGTAGCATTTTAATACCTATCTGCTGTTATATTACCCGTCTGTCTTTTCCAGATTTTTACCAGTTACATTGACCTGCTATATCCCACAGAAGATAGGAATGATCGATTAAGAGATTCCTATTTCTTCACTTGCGATTGCAGAGAGTGCATTACTAAAAAAAAGGTGATTGTATTTATTAGAGTGCACATGCTTTATTTATTATTTAGATTTATAGCTCGATTTTATAGCAAAGGCATAGCATTTTTTTTGTTTGGGTTCTTTACCTCATCATCATTTATTACCATCTAATATTTATATTGTGCCTGTTATATGAGTCCTTAAAGCAGATCTGTGACATGGCTTACCTCCTGCTTCCAATTCCCATTGGTGCAGCTGTGTCTGGCTTATTCAAGGTCAACCATTTAGACTGCGGGAGTAGTGGGCTCCACATTAGTTACTCCCGTTGGGCTCCAGCTCCAGCCATCTCTGACTACTGACCATGTTCCCTGAGGCTGGTGGGAAGAGGAACCCAAGAACCATCATGTTGGTTACTCTTTGTCAGAGCTGGTTTAGCTGCACATCAGCGCAGAGACTCAGAGGTGAGCAGTAGAGTTGATTCTTTATTCAGTGAAACAGAATACAGACAGAGAAACCTACGGGCAAGACTGGCCCCCGGTAAATCAGTTGTCTGAACTGACAATCTGGGCCTCCTAAGTCTCCCCTCTGTCTGGTTGTTTTCCCAGCAGACTTAAACTCCCCCTGTGCTCTTTGCTCTGCTCTGCTACATTCAAGGCCCTCCGTGCCCTTGGAGACAAGGGAGGAGGAGGGATGAATATAGTAGGACTGCTGCAATCTATTGCAGCCTCACCCCCTGCCTCCTCCTCAGCTGCTTGTCCTATGTCTGCAGTGCTTTCCGTCTCCTCTTCCTCTCTCTCACTGTTGCTTGTTCTATGAGTATAGGGCAGTATACAAATTTAATGCATAAGCATCAACATCCAACCCTTCTGGCCTTCCCCCTTCATCCTCTGACCTGTTTTCAGTGTCCCACCGCCACCCCCCAGGCTTCGAGCCTTCCTCTTCTGAGGCTTCTCGAGGGAGTTCTCCAACTGAAGCCTCCCACCACTCCTCGTCGTCCAGCCAATCGCTGACACCCTTGCAGTAGGGCTGTGGCTGAGCGCAGTCTTACCCCCCTGTTCCCCCCATAAAGCTTTGCCACAATCTCTCCCTCTCTCCAGAGAGCAGATGCAGCATTTGGGATGATCAAGACATTAACCTGAGAAATTTGGGGAAAGGCTGTGTGTGTGTTAAGGGAACATGTCCCAGAAAGCAGCTTGCTGGGGGAGGGGGAATAGCCACCATGCCAACTCCCCAGAAGGTGGGTCACCGGGAGGGATGTTGCCGCTGTGCAAATGCACCAACGGAGCCAATCTGGCGTTCCTGCTGGTGCATTCGTACTGCACCAACCTCTCCCCCACCTTGGCCTCCCCATACAAGCAGCAGCAACCCACCCACCAGGAATTCAGCACAGTGGCTCCACCCCCTTCTGACAGGCAGCATTTGAGTCTCACGCCATCCAGGGTCCAAAGCAGCCCCTTTAGTATGTGGCATCTTCAGGCAGTGCTTGAAAAGGTTCCTGCTTAAAGCCCTAGAGTGTCGTTGGATAGGGAATACTGACTCTGTATAATGGAGCTTCCTATCACCCTAACAGTGTGTGGAAGACGTGGGTAGGCAACAGGGTGCCCTCCAAATGTGGCTGGACTGAAACTCTCATCATCCTTGACCAACGTGGCCATGCTGGCTGGTGGGAGTTAGAGCCCACCAACGCCAGAGAGGCATCCATTGGCTACCCCTGGAGATAATCAGTCAGGGACCCATGCAGATGCTACAGGGCTACCCTCATGTCCTCTGTGAGAAACCCTGGCTAAATTTTATCATGCTTTTAAGTTCTCTTCTTTTAACAGATCCCTATAATCTCTCTCTCTTTCTCTCTCTCTCGCTGTGTGTGTTTTGCACAGCTATTGTTGGTTTCTGTGTGGATCTGCTTTTTGTCTCGGAGCTGGGGGAGGCCTTGTAACTCTCTCGCAACTCTTCCCTCAGGACAAAGATAAACTGGAAATCCGCAAGCTGAACGAGCCTCCATCAGCAGAAGCAGTGCGAGATATGATCAAATATGCCAGAAATGTGATTGAGGAATTCAGGAGGGCCAAACACTACAAATATATCCTTTGGTGTTCTCTTTCTCACTCGCTCTCTTTCTTATCTGTGCTCTCTGTTTAAGCTGAACTTTAGATTCAATTGAGCAGCCTCATTTTGTTGAGGCATGTCCAAAAATGCAATTCCCCAGCGTCAGGCTGCTGTATTCCTCTCTCATCTCCCCCCACCCCACCCCTTGTTTCGTTTCTCAAGCCCAGAGTTTCTTTTCCAGCAAGTAGGTTTGGTTTCCCTTAGAGCTGCAGTAAAGCAAGGTAAAAAGTGATTTGCAACTGCTCTGGAGTGTAATTTTTTTGACCAACAATGCAAGAAAGGGAGCGTGCAAAGCTCTTTAGTCTAACTCAGTAGGTGCGTGCGAGACCCTCCACTGATTTAACATTTCTTTGGGATTATTTTACATAATTGTGGGGTGATTCCAGGTGGGTAATGCAATCCTAGCCCGGCCCAAGGATGGTCAAAGTAACAGAGTCACCGCCACAAATGGAGCCCTGTTGCTTCCTTCCAGTCAGAGTCGACAATGTAGAGGGGTTTCCTCTCTAGTAGCTGAATTGGTACAGGGTCCAACAAATTTCAGGGTCCTATCCTGGCAGTAGCTTTGTGCTGGAGGTCAGGCCTCCAGTGCAGTGGAGCCCCCTCATTGGAAATCTGTGGGTCTGAGCAGGAATGGAAATGGGTCCATGCTTCATTCTCATTCCATATCTGATGCTTCAGAGGGGCGTGCAACCCAGTGCAAAGCAAGCTGAATATTGCCACCCAACAGTGCCTCTGTCTCGATGGGCTTCCGTTTCCTCATGTTTGCCTCCATTGTCTTATCACTGATCCCAGATAGGGGTTCGGAACCTTCCTGGGAGCTGATGAAAATGCCAGAGAGAGACTAAGACTGATAATATTTTCCCCCAATTCCATTAACAGTCTTAGCCAGCAGTTTCATGTAGATTTTACAACATCATGTGGGAGAAGATGGAATTATGTGCTCCTTCAAATGCCTGGGTATAAGAGTCCACCACCTGACCGTTGAGCTATTTGAGCTCAAGACCTCCACCCAAGATACCTAACAATAATGTTTAGATGCAGTTTGCTTCTGAATGCCATCTGCTAGGAACAAATACAAAGGGCTGTCATGGCAAAGATGGGGCAGGCTTATCCTCTGATGCTCCTAGAGAGCAGTGGAAATGGCAAGGAAACAGGTTTTTTAAGCTAAACCTCAGGAGAAAAGTCTATACAACCGTGGAGCAAAGTGCCTCCAGATACACTGGGCTTCCTTTGTCTAATCAGAGGCCCAGGAATGTCTTTCTTGCATCCTGCATTGCACTTCTGGAGTGGAGCAGGAACTTGGACCACATGAGCTCTTAAGTCCCTTCCAACTTGTGTGTTTCTGCAACAGGGCAGGGCTATACGTTTCTGTGTGGAACGCTTGTGATTTTGCTTAAGAAGACTTGACTTTTAAGGAACAGGTGTTCAGCTGTGTAGCCCTGGAGTCATAACTGGGCATTCGTTCCCCACTTACTTTCTGTTCTCCTTAACTTTTGGCTTACCCCCAAGTGAACTGCTCGAGGTTTGCGAGCTTAGCTTGGACAAGATGGGCGCTGTGTTTGTCGAGAGCAATGTTTACATGCTGCACATGATGTACCAGGCTATGGGAGTCTGTCTGTACATGCAAGACTGGGAGGGTGCTTTGCGCTACGGGCAGAAGATTATCAAACCATACAGGTAGCGTTCCTGAATTTTTTTGTGTAATTTGTATGATGTAGTAAGCCAAAGTGTCTCTAAAGAAACACACCCACCCAAACACACCTTCACCTTCCAATTCAATGAACTGATCTCATTAATGACTGTTTCTTGTATAAGCCAAGCCTAGCAGGTAGAAGCAAAACAAGATAATTATGTGCTTGTTATCCCAAGAAACCAACTCCTGAATTATTTACATATTTCGGAAGCGGGGCTGTCAGCTGATTGAAGAATACTTAGTTGATTGTGTGAGGTTTAATGTTATTTAAATCTCCATATGAATGAAATGGTAGCTTTGAGGGGGGAAGGAAAGCATTTTGTTGTAACTGAATGGGAGAAGGAACATACAAGTATGTGTTGCAACGGGCATAATCTTAGAGGTATTCCTTCCTGTGTGATGGAAAATGGGAAATCCCCTTAGAATTTTTCTAAAATAGTCCTTGCCAGGTGCAATTTTTATATGAAACATGGTTAGCACTTTTTTAAAAGTAGGTTGTCTGGTGATTCAGGAGAATCATCCTAGTTGATAAAATGTCTCCCCTCCCCCCGCAAGGTTAGATTTGATCTACCGAGATAAATCACTCAGTGGAGGAGGGGTTAAATCTGCGTGGCAATTTTTATCTAAATACATATCTTTGAACATACTTTATCCAAAATATATGCATATTGGTACTTGTTCTCTGCTGGAAAAGTAGAAAATTTGGAGAAGTGCAAAAACTGTACGTTTCTCTAGGAATTGTAAGTGGCTCAGAAACTACAATTAATCCAGAATGGGGTTTCTAGATTAGTGACTTGGGGCAGCTGCCGGGACCATATAACAACAGTCCTAAAAGATCGACATTGACTCCCAGTTCGTTTCTGAGCACAAATCCAACTGTTGGTGTTGACCTTCAAAGTCCTAATTGGCTAAACCAAGAAATCTTTAATTAAAAATACTTTTTAAAAAAGCCCTAAATGGCTTCGTCCCTGTATACCTGAAGTAGCATCTCCACCCCCATCATTCATCCTGGACACTGAGATCCAGCTCCGAGAGCCTTCTGGCAGTTCCCTCCTTGCGAGAAGTGAAGTTACAGGGAAACAACCAGAGGGCCTTCTCGGTAGTGGCGCCCGCCCTCCCATCAGATATCAAGGAGATCAATAATTATGACTTTTTGTAGACATTTGAAGGCAGCCCTGTATCGGGAAGCTGTTAATGTTTGAGGTTCTGTTGTGTTCTTTTATATTCTGTTGGAAACATTGCCCTGCAGCCCATGCAGAGAGGAGCACTACCAGCAGCATGTTAAGCCCAGAGACTGTGGCATGGCACACCCTACCGTTGTGTGTGAGCCAGTTGCAAGGCTGCTCAACGAATTATCTCGGGGCATAATTTTCTCTCCAGCTGTGGAGTATAAACGAACATCTCCCTTTGAATCAGATGCCAGTATGAAGTCATAGATCAGCTGGTGGGGAGCGGTGACTGGGAAAACACAATGGCACATTCTTCCCCTGGAGCCCAAATCTGATTTATCACCCCGGTGATTTGCCTAGGTTTTTGGGGTTTTTTGGTGGGGGGACTTGGAGACTGATCTTCTAAGCTTGTTTAGGCTGGCTGCACAACCGCACTAGTATAGCGGCATGCTGACATTGCAGCTGCGAGATTGCTCTCGGGTTGCCCCTCTGCTCACCTGATCTCTGGTCTAAGTGTGTAGTTTGCCCTGCAAAAGTATGAGCCTCATTTGACCAAAGTTCATTTCATAAGACGATCACAAATTGACCATGTGTGTATATGTTGGCAACAGCCGGAATGCGTTAGCAAAAAGAAATAAAAGTGGAGCGCAGCAATAATTCCTTCCATTGAAGACTAAGAGAGCAAAGTATATGCCTGTGGGGTTATGTCTGAATAAACTAACCCTGTGAGATCAGAGTGGAAAGGCGAAGGGAACACTTTGATAGAATGGAATAGTGGCAGAATAGAGCACATGCAGCTATGCCACAATTCCTTGATTTATTAAAAGTAAATGGATAAATGTTATTATTACAAAGTATTTTATTCTTTGTGCAATTTGTTTTATGTTTGTCCTGTACAATTCACACGTGTTTAAAAAGAAAACGGTAAATCAACCATTATCAATAATTGCATAAAAGGAAGAGCAAGATGTGTGTCTTGGCCTGCCGAGCTGTTGCAAACAAACTTTGTAGAACTGAGGTTTCAAGTTCTGGTGAAAGCAGATGTTGTTCCTGTTTTTCTTTTTTTGCAGTAAACATTATCCTTTATATTCCCTCAATGTGGCCTCCATGTGGCTGAAACTGGGGAGACTTTACATGGGCCTGGAAAACAGACCTGCTGGCGTTAAGGCTCTCAAGAAGGTATCCTCCCCTCCCAGCCCCTTAGATGCCCTTATGACATGCATATAAATGTTTCACTTGGGTAGAAATTCTGAACTGCCTTTGCATTGCTATAGTACTTAATTTTCCAGCCACCTTCTACATCTTCCTGAATTGGCAAAATGAAAGTCCTCTTCCCATTCCAAAATGTTCATTTTAGAACTCAAATCTATGGATAGTACTTTTGCTCCTACCTTTGATGCCCCGAATCTCCTTCAATTAAGGTGGCAGCAACCAGCAGTTCAATTTAATTGGTACACACGGTTTTCCCAACAGGATCCGTCACTGAAAAGTCACTCTCAGTTTCTGTGGTTTTGTGTACAATCAAGAGCTGTTCAGAAACTGAATGTTCTTGGCTCTGATGGAAGCTGGCATATGGCACAAAGCAGATTGCATTTCAGTAGCTATCTTGAATGTTAGTGCATATGGTAGTCAAAATATTTTTTCCCCTGTAGCTGGAAAACCTTGTTAGGTGGGGTGGGGGTGCAGGCAGTGTATTGATCGGTTGTGGAGGGTTTTGGTTTGGCCTCCCTTTCCTCACCTTCACCTTGCAAGGGCTTTGCTGTGGAGCCCTCTCTATACTGACAGACCTGTGAGCATTAGTTGGTAGGGCATCCCTAAGCCTCCTCTCCTCTCCCCTCTCCTTGGGAGTCCTCTGGACAGCTGTTGCCACCACCGTTGGTCTCTGAGCTGCCCCTCCCTGCCCCAAAGAGAGGTGCCTCCTCACACTGCCCCACAGGGGCCTCGGACTTGTCTGTCCATTCCCAACAGCAAGGGCTGGCTGGCTGGGCTCCCTTGCTTGCTTGCTTGCTTGCTTGCTTTCTCTGAGGCTGCCTCAGCTTCTGGCAACCAGTACCCCCTGACCAGTCCCAGAGGCGCCTGGGGAGCTTATAGCCAGGGATGCCGCAACAAACAGCTGTGCAAGCCTTTGGGAGGCAGAGACGCAAGAGGGCATCAGAGGAGGGAAGGAAGGAAAGAAAGAGGGACAGAGGCCAGTGTTGCCCACAACACCCCTGACCATCATTCAAGGCAGCCCAGGGTGCCACGGCACACTGGTTGAAAACCACTGCCCTAAAGCAAAGAAGGAAAAAACAGCTGGATTTTCTACATTGACCTAGAAATGGTGTTGTTGAGCTTTGCCAGTGAATCCTAGGCTTGCTGTGCACAGCTTCCTTAATTTTTTAGTTACCTTAATTCAAAAAGTTAGGGATGGCTAAAACATGCTTCTGCTGCACAGGTGTGCAGCATCAAAAGGAGGATTCAGGCAGACCATTTCAAAATAGCATGTAAAGTATTAATTTACAGTGCAATCCTGTACATACCAATGTAGAAGTAAGTCCCATTAAGTTCATTAGAACTTACTCTAGGTAAGTGGGTACAGGCAACGACCGATTTGCACGGGGGTTCTGTTCTTGATCCCCATGTACATTGATGGAGCACGCATAAGCCTGCTCCATCCCATTATGCCTCACTCCACCCCCTTTTCCAGCCACTTCCGGGTTGCTGTGATGCATGCGGTCAGAGTTGCATGTGAGTTGGTCGTTGCCTGTATAGGGTTGCAGCCTTGGCTACAAACTTTATTTTGGAGTTGAAGACCAAAGTAGTGCAACACAGGCTTGAAATGCAGATCCCAATAAGTCGCCTCAGTGCCACTGGTTCCAGGCAACTGGGCAACTAAGCTTCAACTTCTTTCTGAATGCTGTGGCTGTTGCGTCATAAACTCGGGGGGAAATTGGGTAAAGGAGGACCAGCAAAGGGCGATGCTGGAGGAGATACATGGAGGGTTGTGGTCATCCCAGTTAATGGCTAAACCATCACCCTCTCCCATTGACCATCCAGACTCCATCTTGCTTTCGAGTACAAGCAGGCCCAAATTCTGCTCGAAGCAGCTCCGTTTGAGAGTCATCTTCTGGTTAAGTTTAGAACAGAAAGGCAGATACAATGTCGTTTAACTTTTTGCTTGTCTGTGCCTTTCAAAAGAGTTTGGAGATCTCTTAGGATCAAAAGGTGCTGTGTATATAATAAGGTTTGATTCTTTACAATCAAATGGGCTGTTTTCAGTTGGGTACATTTAAGGGGACAAAAACCAGTCAGAGGTTTCTGACTCTTTGGAATCCCTGACGAGAACATTTCATAAACCAAGGCTGTCTGAATCAATTGTATTTTTTCTCTCCCTCTTTCGCAGGCAATTGCCATCATGGAGATAGCACATGGGAAAGATCATCCATACGTTATAGAGATCAAAAAGGAATTAGAGGCCCACTGAGTCTTTGAATCTATGCAATCCTTCAACCTTTCTTTAAAAGCCTTGCTATGGAAACTTCAGGAGTGCTTTGAAAATTGACATGGGATGAAAGCTTTTCTGTAAAATAATTGGAATGACAAACATGTGGTGCACCCGGGCCTTACCTCTTGCATTCTCTGAGGTTGATGTGAAATATCTTGAGCCTTGATGAATTAATTTTGAATGCTTTTTCCCCACTAAGGAAATGCCACGGTTTCATACAGCTAATGCCTTTGATTGATCATGTGCAGAGATGACCAATTCTTTTCTCTACAGATTTTAATGTACTATGTATCTTAGCCATGCAAAGCAATTAATTAAAATGGGACAGCCTTGCTTGAGCCTGCTTGATTGCTTTCCTTCTTATTGTGACATGAACTTTGTCTTTCAAAAAATGCATAGCAGGCATATTCGTTGTAGCTGCAACGTTTGTTGTAGCTGTAACATTTGCACTCCAAAATTTAGTTACAAACTTAGCTCTTGCATATATTGACTCCAGTTATTCATTTCTAACACTGTGTGTCCACGCTTAGGATAACAATGTCAACATGGATAATGGAAACATACTGTTCCCTGCAAATTGTGTATGGATGTATTAGCACACGTTTCTGGGGTCTTACGTATCTTCAGAAATAAGGAGAGATGTAGGGTTGACTTTACTATTGTTCTTTGGTAAGAACTGGATGCAGTATCACCCAAGAAACTGGTTCCAGTCAATTGCTGTATTTTTTGCTGTATAAGACTCACTTTATCCCTCCTAAAAAGAAAGGGGAAATGTGTGTGTGTGTTATGGAGCAAATGCAGGCTGCGCAGCTATCCCAAAAGCCAGAACAGCAAGAGGGATTGCTGCTTTCACCGTGCAGCCATCCCTCTTTCTCTTCTGGCTTCTGAGATTCAGAATATTTTTTTTTCTTGTTTTCCTCCTCCAAAAACTAGGTGCGTCTTGTCGTCTGGTGCGTCTTATAGAGCGAAAAATACGGTAGCTTTGCAGCCTAATCTTAGCAGCTCCAAAATAGTAAGCGGAAGATTCCAAAGGGTAGGACTAGAACCAAAGAGTGGAAAATACAGGGAAGCCAATTTCAGCTAAACATTAGGAGAAACTTCTTAAGAACATAAAGAGTCCTGTTCCATCAGGTCAGTGGTCCATCTAGTCTAGCACTCTTTTCTCATAGTGGCCAACCAGATGCCTTTGCAAAGCATGCAAGTAGAACCTGACCTCAACAGCATTCTCCCTAGCTGCAGTTTCCAGCAACTGGTACTTAGAAGCATTTCTGCCTCGGGCAGTGGAGGTAATGAAAAGAGAGCAGCTCAGCAGTAGAGCAGATTATTATTATTATTATTTATTATTATTATTTTGCTGGAGATATTTATGCAGAGGCTGACAAAGCCGTCTGTCATGGATGCTGTCATTTCATCCTCCATTGTTGATCCTGCACTGAGTAGGAGCTTGGATGAGATAAAATTCAAAGCTCCCTTCCACCTCTGTGATTCTCCATGTGTGTGGAAATGTTCTTTTTCCAGTGTTGCATATTAATGTCCTCTAGGCTGAGAGGCTTCATAAAAGTTCCCTCCATTTAAAACCCGAAGGCTTCTGTACTTGGCGATGTTTTCAGAGCAGTCATCATAAGTGGAACTTACCTGAAAGGATGTGCTTCTATGGAATCTGGATAAACTATCAATGAATGAATGAATGCCAGCAGCATAAATTCTCAGTGAAATCCTATGCACGTCTACCTCGAAGTAAGTCCCACTCCTTTCAGTGGGGCTTATGCCCAGGTGCATGTGCTCAGGATTTCAGCTTTGTTGTTTATGTCTTGTATACACATGGCCATGTGTAATGGCTTTGGATAGGCAGGAGGCTCTGTATTTCCCCCTCCTCCCTTAAGAAGGCATTCCTCTTCCGCAGAAAGCAAGCATTATGATGATGTGCATCAAGATACACCTTAAGGTGCACATGTTTGTCCAGGGCCCTCCACTGAGCAGCTGAAGATCCACATACAGGTTGTGTGTGGAACGGGTCTGTGTGGAAGTTAAATGGTTAGGTCTGCCCTATTTGTGCTCATGAGTAGCAGCATTTAGTGCGCAGAGGCAGTACAGACCAACTGCATGCCGTGGACAGAAGTACTGCCCAGGCTTTCCCTCCCCTCTGAAGGTACTGCCATAAACTCTCACACTTCAAAATGTAAGGACTAACAGTTGGAAGCTAACACTTAACAAGTCCATAGAAGGCCCTGAAGCACATGTTTTACAGGAAATGAAATTAGTCAATGAAACATAATTTCCAAGCAGATGGGCCATGTCTTGATACTTTCAGATAGCAGAGTTTTAATCAAAAGATTGCTATGGCTGGGATGGAGCAGTTGATGAAAATCTGTGAATCGGATTGCTACTAGCGGATGGGACAGTGTTACCAAACTCCAAACAAAGGGTGCTAACAGTGCAATTCTAAAATGGAAGGCAATTGGAACTAACTCGAGTAGTGGCTGTACCTTAGGCACACATGCAAAGGAAAAGCAATAGGATCATCTATTTACTTGCTACCCTTTGCTATCTCAGCAAACTTTTTCAGCAGGGGGCCGGTCCACTGTCCCTCAGACCTTGTGGGGGCCGGGCTATATTGTGAAAAAACAAATAATGAATGAATTCCTATGCCCCACAAATAACCCAGAGATGCATTTTAAATAAAAGGACACATTCTATTCATGTAAAAACATGCTGATTCCCGGACCGTCCGCGGGCCGGATTGAGAAGGCGATTGGGCCTGATCCGGGCCCCAGGCCTTAGTTTGCCTACCCATGGCCTAATCTGTCAAGAATGTTGGGAGATACATGGTCTTGCTTTGCACCAAAGTATCAGACCAGGCATTCAAATTGACATCATTCCCCGTCACTGAGAAAATGCTGTAACACATCCCTTCTTTCACAGGTGCATGGCAACCCTCCCATTTTTTGCAGTCATATATTATGCTGGCTGGTAGAGATGGGCACAGTCCTACTCTATAATGAGGGAAGTTACAATGTTCAATAAATATATCCCATCCGTTGTCTTCAAATCAATAAGATGACCACTAGAATTTTGAGGGCAGAAAGTTTTATTGCATAATATGAAGGCTAAGCATAGTCTCTTACAAAACAAAAGCTTGAGGCAAAACTTTCTTTCGCTGCAAAAGGCAGGTATTTACACAAAGGTAGTGTAAGGAGTAAAAAAAATATTGCAATTATTAATGCTGAAGAAAACTTTATAAAAACAGGAAGGAAAAGGGAAAAAAGTGCAAAAATACTGTCAAAAGTCAATCGGTTCCATACAAAACAAAACCGACAAGCATAAGCTTATGTTCTGATATGAATATACATTAGGGTACAAAATAGCATGCATGCATAGATTTCTTTTATTTAAAAACAGACTTTCAATAGTACAAAAAGGTGTCTGGCAGTCATACCGGATTAATGGGAGATAAAAATAGTTGAACTCAATTGTTTACAAAATTTATACATACAGAAGAACGTAAGTCTTTCTCATAATGGCTCTGGACTCAACAATGAAAATCCCTGGTGATACACAAAAATACTGCAGTAAAACCAGACTAACAACAATCCAGTGATGTAAAATTGATTTAGTGTGTTAGTCTGTATAACACAAGTCAGATATGATTATACAGGTGCAATACAGAAATAATGCACATGCAACCGTTCTGTAAAACAGATACTCCTGTTTACACAAAGAGAGAGAACGTTCCCATCAGAGGTGATCCCAACAGCTAATTTTAGTTCCTTGCAGCTTCTTTTTTTATTATTAATGCCTTTAAAGGCAGCAGCAGATAGCAGCAGAAAAACAAGAGTTTTAGACGAACGGGGGCTGTGATGAATTAATTTCCAGACCTTATGTTTTGGGGGAAGGGGGGAATTTAGATTCTGAACCTGTTAATGGAACCAGGGTTCATAAAAAGTGTTTCTTTTTTTCTTTTGTGTGTGCCCAACCATGGCATTCAAGCCACTTTGCAAAAATCTGCAGCATACAACTATAAAAACATCTGTAAGGCAGGCGACAAAAGCAGTTAAATACAGATAGGTAAGCCATGACCAGTCTAAAAAATTCAACCAACTGACATTAGTCCTCTTCAGGTGTTATTGCCCTCAGATGCAACACAGGTAGAGAGGAGCTGCAGAGACATGGCCTAAGCCAGGGGTCAGCAAACTTTTTCAGCAGGGGGCCAGTCCACTGTCCCTCAGACCTTATGGGGGGCCAGACTATATTTTTTGGGGGGGGGGGTATGAATGAATTCCTATGCCCCACAAATAATCCAGAGATGCATTTTAAATAAAAGCACACATTCTACTCATGTAAAAACATGCTGATTCCTGGACTATCTGCAGGCCAGACTGAGAAGGCGATTGGGCCGGATCTGGCCCCTGGGCCTTAGTTTGCCTACCCATGGCCTTCTCCTGGGGCTGTGAAACACCTCCCAGACCTTGTGTGATCTTCCAGAGTTCTCAATTGCTCTGGGAGCCTCTGCAGATACACAAGGCTCCACAATGCAGAAGTTCACATAAAGCTAGGATGTACAAGGGAGATTTCACCTGGTACCGGAAGATAGCAATGATGATTCCTGGAATATGTCCCTGAGCAGTGCTTCCATAATCTGGGGACAACCAGATAAAAAGGCCCCTATCTACAATAGCTACCCATCCAACATTAGAAAGCAGGAATGTTCATAAAATAGGAACCAAATATCTATGTTTCTGAGAAGGTTCATATGGGAGAAGAATGTCCTTACAGTACGCCTAGTGGAGGAAGCCAGAGGAGGCCTTTTCAGGAAGATTTTAAACTGTGAGCAGATCCATATAAGAGAAAGCAATGCTTCAATAATTTAGGGCTTAAGAGGCCATCGCCAGCACTTTGCATTGGGCCAGGAAAACAACATAGTTGTTTCAACATCAGCATCATAAGCTTGACATTTTCCTCAACGTCTGGACTAGCTGTAATTCCCAATAATAACATGACAGGTGTGACAGTCGTGACCTAGATATCACTAAAGCAAGAATCATCATGGCCAGTTTGGATTTGCCCAGGGAAGGGCATAAAACTACTGCTGCCATCTTACACACACTTAAACTGTCAACAAGACTCTCCTAAATCTGTAATAAAAATATATTTAAAAAAAAACAAAACCAAAACTCTCCTAAAAGTTAACAAAGTACTGGTTATCCAACAAAGTCAGAAAGAAAGGTAATGGAGTTTGGGTGCACAGGTCAACTGTCAGACAGGGTGATTTAGTAAAGCATTAATTTTCTGCAGAAAGAAATGGGGTTCCTATAAACATCGCTCTTCTTTGTATGCAGATACCTG